GAAAGTGCTGCTTTCTGCCCCCCTCCTCCCACTTCATCCCAAAGAAAGAGTCTTACCCTTTCCAGACCCAAATACCACTCTCCTGGACACTCTCCCTCTTTGAGAGAAAGGGTGACCACCACGGGTAGTTTCAACAGTGGCCCCATCCTCTCTGATTCCTGGCCAGGTCGGTTGTCATGGTAATCCTTCCCCAGCCTAGAGCCTCCCAGTTTCCCCACCCTTCCACCTTTGTGGTTATGGAGCCCCAAACCTCTCTGGACTCCACACCAGGAAAAGGTTGCTAAGATAACCTAAGTCCCTGGTGGTCCTTCTGCTCCTGCCCTCATCAGTACTATGGCAACCCCTCCCCATCTGCACTCAGGTAGAGAGGACCCCAGCCCCAAGGACACTGATCTCCAAGAGAACACCTCTTCCCCAACTCCTCCCTGTAGCCACCCAGCTGGCATTACCATGGTAACCATCTTCTATGGACCAAATCCACCAGGTGTTTTTATTTAGAGAAGGAGCTACTCTGCTTAGGCACAGTTGCTATGGTTACAGGGCCTGGACCATCCCCAGGGAAGTGAGAAACAGGCAAGGCCAAGCCCTGGTTGCTATGGTAACAGGGCAGCCACCCCCCCCCCCTTTTCTAGTGACCCTAGGAACCAGGCCCACCAAAGTACAGGACGTTTTAAGATTGTCTCTCAGGGTGGAGTGTATCTAGGGAGGGGTTGTCATAGAAACAGTTTCTGTCACTTCTAGCCCTGCCTTTTCTGAACACATTCATGAGAGAGGGATGGTTATAGGTTGCTATGATAACTGACATCCCTCCCACCCGCCCGACCCCACTCCACTCCTGAGATGCCCCAGGTGGTGCTCAAGCTTATGAGACTTCAAAAGAAAGGATTCCCTGACCTTCTAGTAGCCACTTTTGTGGGTAAGATGAAATCGTGCTCTATTATGCAGAATTGGCTCATTCAGTGTCTTCTGGTTCTTTCCTCAGCAGTGCAGCTGAGCTGGGCTGGAACTGCCCTCCTGGAACTCCCCCAGCCTGCAACCTAGGAGGTAAGAAGTCCCTTGGTGTCACCAACACTCACATGGAAACTGCCCTTTCCTTATTCTCAAAGGCTTTCCCACAAATCTCTCATTTTTTTCTACCTGTCACATTCCCGTTCTCCAGATGCAGGGGCTAAGGCTCAGGCCTGAAAAGAATCTGGTCACTTACATTGCTTTGTGGGGAACGAGACACAGTAAGGTCTCAGCTTAGCTGAGTCCCCTGTTTTCTCTCATGCCCCTGCTGGCTTCCTGTCCTATCTGTAGGTTGTATGTTTGGATTTTGTCTTCTGGATGGCCAACCCAGTGACTGCCTTTTTCATCCTGTGTCCTCAGAACACGGGGTCTGCCACAGAGAACACCTGATAAATACATTTGTTGAGTTAATGAGTTGAATTAATTAATTAACGTGCTGTTTTTAGCTTTGAAAGCACTTGCCAGCTTTGGGCTGGGGAAGGCTCACTAAAGATGGTCTGAGAGTTGGGCCTTCTGCGTGGACCCAAGAGAGACAGCAGAGTTTATTGGTTTAAAGCACAACTCTGGAGCCAGCTTCTTAGATCAAATCCTGGGTCCACCACTTCCCAGCTGTGTGACCTTGAGCAAATGACTTCACTGCTCTGCGCCTCAGTTTGCTCATCTTTAATTGTGATCATAGCATGAGAATGAAATGAGTGAATGTACACCAAGTGCTTAGAACAGGACCTGGCACGTGGTGAGCCGATAGAATTGTTGGTATTATTTTCTTCCCGATTCGTAAAAGTGTACAGCGTTCAGAACTTCAAAATCATTATTTCATCCACCTTGCCCCAGTGAAGGGGTCTGCATTCCTTACAGTTCCTACCTTACGGTTGGTGAAGCCAGGACTAACCTGGTCAGAGTACTAGATAATTCCTTTCTCCTTCCAAGTTTCCCTCACTCTCGTCAGCAGGCGGCGTCTCTTCATCTGGCCATCAAACCCCTGGTATCTGAGGGCCTGGTTTCTGTCCTCTGCCCTAGCGGGCACCTCCTGGCCCAGAGTCAGCCAGACAGTGTGGCAAGAGCCAGGGCCTTCGACGTGGAGACCTGGGTTCTGGTCCCTGCGTCCTTCCCATCTCTGAGCCCTGGTTCCCTATGTTAACGGTTCAGGTCCCTCGTTCCTTCAACACGTATTTATTAAGCACCTGCTATGTGCCAGGTGCTGGGCTATGCTGGGCTGGGGATACAGCAGGAAACAGGACAGACGAAACTGATCCCCAGCTTCCATAGGGACTCTGACAGTAACCAAGACAAGTAAAACCCACATGATAACTACTAGGGGAGAAAAAGAATGCAGGGATGGGGGACAGGAAGTATGGGGTGACAGGGAGATGCAGTTTTAAAGAGGATCGTCAAAGGAAGGGCTCACTGGAAGGTGACATTTGAGCAAAGACCTACAGGCCGTGGGGGAGGAGCCACGCGGATACCTGGGGGAACAGCATCCAGACAGGAAATGGGCAGTTCTGTGGCTGGAATGTTCGAGAACGTTTGTTGGAAGAATGGGGTTGGTGCTGGTGAGGCTGGAACCGAGGGGGCGAGTGGAAAAGGATGGGAGACTGCCAGAGGCCTTGTGGGTAAGGAGATTGGCTGTTCTGTGAGCAAGGTTCCAGCCACGAAAGGGTTTGAGCAGAGGCAGAACGGGACTGAATTCATTTTAACAGGATCCCTCTGGGCGCCAAGTAGGGAACAGACTGGAGGGGATAGGACCGAGGCAGGAAGATGGTCTCTCGCTCTGACCTTCAAGGATGTGAAGACTGTAAAACTATCTAAGGGTCTCCTCTGAGCTGTGCGCCTAAACTGTAAGACCCTAAGAGTTTGAAGGCCCTGGAGATTCTCTGGTTCCAGAGGTTCCTGCCCCTGCAATAATGCGAGCTGCACGAGGGCAGGCATGTTGCCCTGTGCGTCCGCTGCCGTGTCCCCAGTCCTAGAACAGTGCCTGGTGTGATGTTGGAGCTCAACAAACAGACGTTGAAGGATTGAAGAAGGAAGGATGCGCCTCAGGTGCAGAAGGCAGTTCCAAGTTCCTAGAGAGTCGCCTTTAAGTGAACTCAGATTCTCAAGTGCTATTCAGGTTGGGTCAAGGAACAGCACGCAGGACTGGGGTGGGTACAGAGGGTGGGAGAGCATTCCTCTTTCCTGGTAGGAGAGACAAAAATGCAAGCTTGCACGCAAGAAGACCAGGGCAGGGCCCCAAGCACACTGCCGTAGGGCAGAGGGGCAGAGTCTGGCTCTAAGGACCTGCGAGGGCTTTAAACTCTGACAAACTTTGATCCTTCCTGCCGTTTTTTTTGTGTTTTTTTTTGCCAAGTGTATTCTCAGCGCTGGGGGCATAGCAGTGATGGAGAGAGCCCTGGGTCTGCCCTCCCAGGGCTCACAGCCTAGTGGGCAGAAACATCCCTCCCCATCTGATGAGCCAAAATGGGCAGGGCTGGGAGAGCCCAGAGGGGTTCAGGAAGGGCTTCCTGGAGGGGGTGTCTGAGCTGAGGCCTCAAGCATAAGCAGGTGTTCTCCAGAAGAAGAGGTATGGGGAAAAGGCGTCCTTAAGAAGAGACTCTTCTAGACAGAAGGAACAGATGTGCAAGCACTTAGAAATAAGTGAGCTGTCTGAGAGAAAGTTCAGGGTGACTTAGGCATACAGTTTGAGGAAGGCATGACAAAAGATCGGCTCAAACGGTGGGCAGGCAAGTGGAATGTCGGTGGGCAGGCAAGTGGAATGTCGTAAGAAACTTAAACTTTTCCCCGGGCACTAGGGAGCCATGGCAAGATGTGAGCAGGGAAGGGAGAGGTCATATTTGTGCTTTAGGAAGACCCCTCTGGCTACCATGAAGAGGGTGCTCAGGCTGGAGGCGAGGGGGAGGTTGGGCAGGAACCTGGGTGAAAGCTTAGCTGGATGTCCTCTCTCTGAGAAGGGCAGAAACCTATAAAAATCCTTAATGGGGAACTTTGAGTACCTGCTGAGAACCACCTGTTCTGGAAACCAGCCAAGTCTTCAAAGCCTGTGACGGGGACAGGGCGACAGCGCCATCTGGGGCTTGCTTGGGAGTGTGGCCATGAATGGACAGGGAGCAAGGTGCCCTAAAGCTGGCAGTATCTAGAACAAACTCATTCCACTTAAAAAAAAATTCTTTTTAATTGTAACAAAATACATGTTACATAAAATGTACCATCTTAACTATTTTTAAGTACACAGTTCATTAGTGTTAGGTGCATTCACATTGTTGTGCAGACTAATCTCCAGAACTTTTTCATCTTGCAAAACTGATCTGTACCCATCAAACAACTCCCCATTCCCCCTCCCCACAGCCCCTGGCACCCACAATTCTACTTGCTGTTTCTATGAGTTTGACCCACTCCATTTTTTTAAAAAATTGAATTAGCAGCCCACATTTAAAAATTGGCCAGCCTGGGCAATAGCAAGACCCCATCTCTACAAAAGAATTTAAAAATTAGCCTGGCATGGTGGTGTCCCCCTGCAGTCCCAACTACTCGGGAGGCTGAGGCAGGAGGATCGCTTGAGCCCAGGAGTTGGAGGCTGCAGTGAGCTATGATGACGCTACTGCACTCCAGCCCAGATCAGGGAGATGACCAGATGGCACAGGGTTTGAGGAAGTCGGAAGAAGGCAGCAGCGGAGAGGCTTGGGGGTAATGCTTGGGGGCTGTAGCATCAACCTCACCCTGGAGCCAGGGCCAGGGCGAGGGAGTGGAGGGAAGGAGACAGGGAGAGTTCAGGGGGGCTTCCTGGAGGAGGAAACGGTAGAGAGGACGTTGCGAGTTGGGCTTGGGCATGGGGTTAGGGTATTTATAATCGTGCTGGCATCTGAATGGCAAGTTGACAGAGAAGGGTGGGACAACGTGGAAGGGAAGGTGATTCAATTGAAAAAAACTTACCGAGCACCTAATGCATATCTGGCTCTGTGCTTCGTGGGCATTGAGGAGCCAGCAAGTGACCAAGACCAGCTCAGGTCCTGCCCTCGTGGATCTCGCACTCAGCGATGACTTAGTGTGGTCAGGCTGGCGTGGGGGGACCCAGGGAGCTAAGGATGCCCAGATCGGGTGCATGACCCAGCCTGGAAGGTCCGGGAAGGCTTCCTGGAGGAGGGGAAATCGGAGCTGACACCAAATAGGGAAAAGAAGGGGAACTGAGAAGGAACTGGGGGAGAAGGGCAAGGCTGGGTAGGGGGAGGAAGGTGGTTCTGACAACCAGCTCCAGCTCTGCTCTCGCCCCTCTTCCCCAGGATGCCTCGGAGGCCCAGCTAGGGCCTGACCTGGGCCCCATGCGCCTCACCCGCTGCCAGGCTGCCTTAGCAGCCGCCATCACACTCAACCTGCTGGTCCTCTTCTATGTCTCGTGGCTGCAGCACCAGCCCCGGCACTCCCGGGCCCGGGCTCCTCGCCGTTCATCTGCCGCCGGGCCCCGCGTCACCATCCTAGTGCGGGAGTTCGAGGCATTTGACAACGCAGTGCCCGAACTAGTGGACTCCTTCCTGCAGCAGGACCCAGCCCAGCCCGTGGTGGTGGTGGCCGACACACTCCCCTACCCGCCCCTGGCCCTGCCCCGCATCCCCAGTGTTCGCCTGGCGCTGCTCCAGCCCGCCCTCGACCGGCCCGCTGCAGCCTCGCGCCCGGAGACCTACGTGGCCACCGAGTTCGTGGCCCTGGTGCCTGATGGGGCGCGGGCCGAGGCACCCGGCCAGCTGGAGCGCATGGTGGAGGCGCTGCGAGCGGGAAGCGCACGCCTGGTGGCCGCCCCCGTGGCCACAGCCAACCCTGCCAGGTGCCTGGCCCTGAACGTCAGCGTGCGAGAGTGGACCGCCCGCTATGGTCAGGCACCCGCTGCGTCCCGCTGCGACGCCCTGGACGGGGACGCCGTGGTGCTCCTGCGCGCACGCGACCTCTTCAACCTCTCGGCGCCGCTGGCCCGGCCGGTGGGCTCTGGCCTGTTCCTGCAGACCGCCCTTCGCGGCTGGGCGGTGCAGCTGCTGGACCTGCCCTTCGCCGCGGCGCGCCAGCCCCCGCTGGCCACGGCCCACGCGCGCTGGAAGGCGGAGCGTGAGGGGCGCACTCGGCGGGCGGCGCTGCTCCACGCGCTGGGCATCCGCCTGGTGAGCTGGGAGGGTGGGCGGCTCGAGTGGTTCGGCTGCAGCAAGGAGACCCCGCGCTGCTTCGGCACGGTGGTGGGCGACACACCGGCCTACCTCTACGAAGAGCGCTGGACGCCCCCCTGCTGCCTGCGCGCGCTGCGGGAGACGGCCCGCTACGTGGTGGGGGTGCTGGAGGCGGCGGGCGTGCGCTACTGGCTGGAGGGCGGCTCGCTGCTGGGGGCGGCCCGCCACGGGGACATCATCCCGTGGGACTACGACGTGGACCTGGGCATCTACTTGGAGGACGTGGGCAACTGCGAGCAGCTGCGGGGAGCAGAGGCCGGCTCGGTGGTGGATGAGCGCGGCTTCGTGTGGGAGAAGGCCGTCGAGGGGGACTTTTTCCGCGTGCAGTACAGCGAGAGCAACCACCTACATGTGGACCTGTGGCCCTTCTACCCCCGCAACGGGGTCATGACCAAGGACACGTGGCTAGACCACCGGCAAGACGTCGAGTTCCCGGAGCACTTCCTGCAGCCCCTGGTGCCTCTGCCCTTTGCTGGCTTCGTGGCGCAGGCGCCTAACAACTACCGTCGCTTCCTGGAGCTCAAGTTCGGCCCCGGGGTCATCGAGAACCCCGAGTACCCTAACCCAGCACTGCTGAGTTTGACGGGAAGCGGCTGAAGTCAGGGAGGGCTGCTGCCCTCGCCTGGCGTCCAGGGGACATTCCTGTGTTTTGGGGGAATCTGGATGTGGAGCAGCTTTGTGTGGGCGATTGGGGGTGGGGGTGTGGTGCAGAGGGATGGGGAAAGTCAGCAAGAAAGAAAGAAGTTAGAGGGGGCGTACGACGGAAGCCTGGCTTTGGCAGGAGAGAACCTGGCCAAAGATGGTGGGAAGCAGCGCCCAGAGGTTCTCCAGCCCTGCCGGCTGTGAGCGATGGATGCGTGCGCGCGTCCTGGTAACTGAAGGAGCCGCCAGCGTTTGGCGGACGGCGCCAGAGACGCCAAGCCGTGCCGCAAGGCCCCGCATAGTCCCAGGCCACAAAGAAGGGCCCTGCCCAAGATTCCAAGAGTCCTGCGCTCCGGAGCTAGGGCAGCGTTTTGGAAAGCAAGAGGAGTGCAGGCTCTGGGACCAGACTGGCGGGATTGAAATCCCGGCTCTACCCCTTACCAGTTAGATGGGCCTGGGGCCGTGTCGCAGTTCTTTGTGCCTCACTTGGTGGCCTCCAGGATTCTGCTAGTGTCCTCCGTGTCTAGCACCAAATGAGGACCTTTGGCTGCTGGGGTCGCTGTGGGAGGCGGGCCAGCGATGACTATCTCCTCTTCTTCCGGAAGGCGACCGAGCTCCTTCCCTCCCGGGAGAGCTCTGTGAGGTGCGTGCTGCTCTTAACTCATCTTGCAGCGGAGAAAACCGGCTCAACTCTGAGGTGCGATGTGGTCACAAAGGGGTGGTGGATCCGGGCTCCCACTCCTTGTTATTACCTCATTATTGCAGCTCCGCACCTGTTTTCCGGCTTGCACGGCAGGGTAAACAGTAACCATAGTTCGTTTACTGAGCACTTACTGGGTACCAGGCGTGCTTCTCGGCGTTTCACGTGGGTTAACTGATTTATCCCTCACTTCAACCCTTTGAAGTCACAGCTGCTATCATTCCCATTTTATAGATGAGGAAACTGAGGCCAGAATGGTAAAGTCACTTGGCCAAAGTCAGACAGCTTAGGAAGTGGCAGATTGGGGAGTTGAACCCAGGTGGTCAGGCTCCGGAGCCCACACTGGACTTACCCACTGTGCCCGTCTCTAGCGACGGTACCCAGGAGGAGGTCTGTGGAGGCTGTGCTACTTAACAGGTAGAGCATTTTCTTTTTTGATCATGCACCTGAGTAAATACTATTTGGGTATGTGCTCCCAATATGTGTATATTTATTTATAAATTATGGATGGGTACTACTCTCCGTCTGTATATCAGTAATAACACTTAAATTATTCCATTTTAAATAGGAAATATGAACATAAGTTTTTATGTTTTCTCACCTCATCCCAGTGACTTTTTGCGCACACCCCTAGGTGTGTGCATCTGTTTTTAGAGACCACGGGTTAAAAAAAAGCGCGGGCTCTGGGGTGAGAGAGGAGGGGGTTCAAACCACAGTGCTGCCACTTCTCCCAGTCTGAATTTGGGCCTCCACTAATGGTGTCTCTGTACCCCTGCTTTGCATCTGGGAAACGGGGAGTGAGATCGTTTATCCCCCGGGAGTGGGTTTGTGGCCAAGGGGTCGGGAGTCAGGCTGAGTTTGAATCCTGGCTTAGCCTTTTACTTCTTTTGTGGTCTTACGCAAGTTGCTGCCTCTCTGAACCCCTAAACTGGGCGATTGGCAATATTGCAGAATTGTACACTTCTTGGAGGAGGAGGCTTCATAGACCAGCAAGACAAACTCATCTGCTGAGGCTCAGACATCCAAAGACTGGTTTCTCCCATCCAAGTACTAAGTGCTAACCAGGCCCGACCCTGCTTAGCTTCCGAGATCAGACGAGATCGGGCGTGTTCAGGGTGGTATGGCCATCGATGGGTAAAGGCTGATTTCTTATAACCCAGCCTCTGCTTTTAACCACTGAACCCACAAATGGTTCACAAAGAGACTGTCGGGTCCCCAGAGAAAAATCTGGAAGTGTGTGGGGACGGTTTGGGTTATCGCCGTGAGAGGACAGTGCTTTTGGCCCTTGAAAGGCAGGGCCGAGGGATGTGGGTGCCTAACGTGCAGGCAGGCGCCTCCGCACAATAGAGTCAGTCCGTGTCGCATACCGTTTCTAAATGTCCCATTAGACATTCATGGAGGAAAGATGATATTCAAAATATTTTGCAACTGGTATATGATACTATAAATTAATATTTGTCAATATATGCATCAAATTTTAAAATATTCCTTTTCTCTAATCCAAGTGATCTTACCTTTATATACATATTTCTTTAGATTGTTTACCAAGAATATAAGTTGAAACTCAATCCATCCTCAAATTGTTGTAATGATTTTGTTTTATGTAGAAATTGTTTTGTTTTTTTAGACAAGGTCTTGCTCGGTCGTCCCAACTAGAGTGCAGCAATAGTGTCCTTATAGCTCACAGCAGCCTCAAACTCCTGGGCTCAAGCGATCCTCCTGCCTCAGCCTCCCGAGCAGCTGGGACTACAGGCGCGGCCACCACATGCCCGGCTAATTCTTTTATTTGTTGTAGAAGCAGAGTCTTGCTATGTTGCCCAGGCTGGTGTTGAGGCCCAGTGGGCCTCAAGGAATCTTCTTGCCTCGGCCTCCCAAAGTGCTGGGATTACAGGTGTGAACCACCACGCCCGGCCATTGTTTAGAAATCATTGATGTGATTTCCTTCTTTTTTTATAATTATTTCAAAATATTAAGGGGGTACAAATGTTTTTGTTTCCTGGATACACCGTATGATGCTGAAGTCAGGGCTTTCAGCGTGCCTGCCCCCAGGCCAGTGTTCATCGTACCCAACAGGCAAATTTTCACTCCTAACCTCCCTCCCAGGCTCTGCCTGATGTGATTTATTGATTGATGGCCACTATCTATAGTAACAATGATCCTGCCTTCGCTGTGTTTTGATTCAGGGAATCATAGCAAATGGTTCCAGCAGCTTCCCACTAAATTGAGAATCAGGCAACTTGAAGTCTCAATAGATTAAGAAATTCTCTTAGGATTAACCA